CCCCCCCCCCCAATCCCGCGCTGATGCGCGGGTAGGTGAAGCGCCGCCTTTTTCCTGCGGCGTCTCACCCCGTCCCGAGGGGCGGTTTCGCCCCTCCTCCCTTGATCCACCTCCTCCTTTTGCGCCATAACTGTGTCGTAGAAGGAGATGACGGCGGACCAGCCCTCGTCTCCCCCGAGCATGGCCCTAATAAGGGCCGGGGGAGAGAGGTCCGCTCCCACCGCATTTATTAGGACTCGGCGCTCTGCCACCCACGAGGAGCATTCCCCGAGCGTGTGCTGCGCCGAGTTCATCTCGTCACCACAGTGGTGGCAGCGTGAGGTGAACTCCTTGCCTATTCTGTGCAGGTACTCACCGAAACATCCCTGTCCGGGGGATCAAAGGAGGAGCCGCCAAGGACCCGGGTCCGGATAGACAACGTCTCCGTGAGGGCGGGTCCCACGTTAAAGTACTTGGGATTCGTCCTGGATGGCAAATGGGAGTTCCAGAAGTACTTTAAGCTTCTGGCCTCCAAGTTGGGCAGGATGGCCAATGTGTTGGGTGGCCTCCTGCCCAATCTCGGCAGCCCCAAGAGGAGGGCATGGCGGCTGTATGCCGGCGTCGTCCACAGTATGGCCCTTTACGGGGCCCCGGTCTGGGCGAGTGCGATGGCAACCAACCAGGGATTAATTTCCCTGGCGCACCGCATCTAGCGGTGGGTCGCCATTCGCCTTGCCCAGGCCTATCGGACGACGTCGCATATGGCCGCCACGGTCCTGGCCGGTCTCCTCCCGCTAGAGCTCCTTGCTCAAATGCATGCCGAAAACTATCGGCGTGTCAAGGAGCTCCGTGCTGGGGGAGACCTTGAACATCTGGCCAAACCTGCGTTGTTCGGAAGGACAACTCCCCGCGGGCCCTGTTCACCCACTCCTTTAGACAGGGCTGGATAGCCTCGGCGATCCTCGTTCCCGATCGGCCCGTCGCCCCCTTCAGGTGGATGCTCCACCTAAGGAGGAGGCGTTGACGGGCCTGGTTCGGGTGTATATCAGTTGGACACGGGGCAATTTGACACAGTCCAATCACAAGTCGCTGTTCCAAGGGACCCTACAAATGTCTCTAATCATACGGTGCTGTGATTGGCTGTGTCCAAATGCACCGTGTCCAAGTGCACCGCTCCCGCCTGGTTCTTGGCTAGTCTAATAGCCTTTTAGCTAAGCCTACAATTTAACAAAGGTATTTTATATTGACTGTTTTAATTATTTATTATATTTAAATCTTACTTATTTTTATTTTATTTTATGATTTTTTTGTAGTTATGACGGCTACTTCGTAATATTAATTTGAACTTCTTATTATTCCGGTAACGGTCTTGTCAGCTTTAATATTGCGAATAACATTCATGTCATTTTACTCAGGTCTTTAATTAATACTTTTGCTTTGTAATGCGTTCGTTTTGTAAACCTTGAGTTTTTATTTATCACTGAAGAGGGTTCATGATTGAGCCGAAACGTTTGATTATTTATATTGAGTATTCATGTTTAATAAATATTACTTTATTTCTTAACACAAAGAAGGTTTTATCCATATGGTACATAGCACTATTAATCCTGTGCTTGAACTCAAATTAGCTCTTTTCCTATTATTTAGTTTATTTCAAATATTCCTTATATCATTATTTCAAAGAAAACGTTTTAAAATAGCAGTAAGTAGCATAGGTGACAGCAACGTTTTCGTTAAAATGATTTTGAACATATATAAAAATGGCTTAACGAAATATACGTATTATTTAAAAGGTGTAATTGTATCGAATATTTTTGAAGCCAAGAAAACGTATGATAATTGTTTTGTTATCAATTGCGAAGTATCAATAGGATATCTTTGTAACAAAATATTTCATGATACTGTTAGTTTAAAAGAGATTATTTCATGTAATATATGTAGTGATGTGCAAGAAAAACTACAATACAAGTCAAGTTAGAAAATCTGTTAGCTTCTGAATTTCCATATACTATTGAAAATGAGTTTACATTAAAACCAAAAATTTGCTAGCAAGAAAATATTACACAGAAAGATATTAGATGCACAGGTACAATAAGTACGAAAATTTCAGAAATTGGTAAGTAACTTAAGAAATGTTTTTTCTTTGGGATTAAAAAAGAAAAACCAATTGTTGGTATTCTTTTATTTTATTTAAAACTATGCAACGAATTGTCTTTCAGTTTTATATTATTATTTTATATATATTAAATAATAGGCAGTAAAATTTCCATGTTGCTATATTTATTTATCCAAAAGTTATTAATGTGTAAATTTAAATTTTTCGATATATATGATTTTTAAAAACCAAATTAATGATTTAAAATAAAAACACAAAAATTCTTATTTATAAATAGTTATTAGAGAACATAAATTTCGGAAAAAATAGAAATTTAAAAATAACAAAATAGCGTCCATTCAGTGTCAACATTTTTTAATCTTCTGTCTTAAAATTTTGAGTTTTTAATAATCATATTATAATTTAATCATATTATAATATTATCATTTAATAATATATAACGCTGGAACACAATTTGTTACATAGTTTCTTTAAAAAATTAGTTTTTTTCCGATTTCCAGAAAGAAAAAATCCCTTAATTTATAGAAAATAAAATGCTAACGTATATATACATAATATGACATAAGATACAGAAGACACATTAGGTTTTATGGAATAGTTTCTTTATATTTAAATTATTTTTTAATAATTTATGATAGATAATTGCGTCAGGCGATGATTCGCGGACGACGTACGAACGAACCGCGATTCACGGTCGGCTGATTTGTGGTCGACTGCCAATCTATAGTTGTAATGTTTATGTTCTCGCGAGACGTTAGCTCACTCTATTCGCGTTCTTCTTATATTGTACTCTCTATCACGCGTGAACTCGCGCTGCACGTACCATGTAAAGAGTGACACCGCCAAACTTATAGAATAAAAGTATTTTCTCTTCACGAGAACGGTCCACGATTTACTGATAACGGTCAACAATTTATCTAATAATTACTTTCTAGGAATGTTTATAATATTGGATATTTACAATACATACGAAGCCCAAGCCGAAATAGAATTAAATAAAGTCCACAGAAAATTACAATTTTCATTTATGTCAAATGAATATATTTTAAGGGGAATAGTAATATTTAAAGCACCTACATGTACACTCTGACAAAAAGAAAATATCATTGGGCACTTTACGGCAGTGTTTCCAAAATAATACGTGGATAGAATATGACGACAGCAGAAAAAAACCAAAGAAGCTAACTAATAATTATAAAGCAAACATTCAAGTGGCGATATATAGTATGTAAAAAGTTATATTTTATAACCATATATAAATTTATATAAATTTGTAATGTACTCATATACTTTTGTGTTTAATTAAAGTACGAAAAAAAATAAAGTCAATTCCAGGTAGTATAGATTTATTGTATTTTTACATATTTTTCCATAATTATGTGTGTGTGTGTGTGTTTGCCTGTCACTCCAAGTTTCCAAGTCCCTAAGAGACACAGTGCAAAAATCAGTATTACCGGAATTCAGGAGCGCGTAAATAATAGATTTATTGTAGTTCATTTGTTTATTGTTAAAACAATTCTTCCAATTTTTTTATAAGGTCTACGACTATGATCTTTGCTTTAACAGTAAAGTCCCTTAAAAGTCGTAGTACAAAAATCAAAATCACAAAAATTTAAGAACGTATAAATCGTAAATATATCGTACATAATTGATTCCGCGATTTCTTCTATTTTCTAGCAGTTCCACACGGAAAACAAGATTTGTTGTAACAGTTGAAAACCTTAATATTCTAGCAAATCTATAGCCGTAATATAGAGACAGCTAGTTTACTATGTTACAGTAGTCAAGTCACATTAGCTGAATAAGTATTGTTTATGTATTTAGTCAAATTTGATGTTGTAGCATGGTAGATTTGTTAATACAGCAAAGATGATTTTCTATTGTAACTAATGAAAAATATAGCTTGGTATATGCAACTCATCTTTTTGCTGGTGTATCAAAACAAATGTAATACATTAACGGATTACATTATAACTAAATCATTAGCTGTTTTAGCAATAGAGATAAGGTAAAATAACAATGTTTACTGAAACATTTGAAATATTTATTTTGCAACCCTTTGAGTAACAATATATATATATATATATATATATATATATATATATATAAAATTTACATCACTATTACATATTTATTATTATAATTTATCATCACATTATAGAATAATTATTAGGTGCGCAACTAAGTTCTCGCTGTTTTTTTTTATGAAAATGC